ATTCCACATTATGAAATTTGCAGGTATTTGTGCAGTGTAGACCAGGCCGACCAGCTCCGCCATGTTCACCTCGTAGATTCGTTGGACAGAGTATAGGTACACTTGGCCAAACATAAAACTGGTACAGGCAATATGTATTTTTTAAAATTGCCTAGTGTGAGTCCGGCTTAACAACAAAAAGTCTCTTCTGAGAAACTTAGGTCAGACAGTTTTTGTCAATGTCAAAGCTGAACAAAAGTAAATGCAACATGTTTTTATAGCCGTGTTCGTTTTTGTCATCTTTTTAGTCGATTTGCTCCGAAATTTTGACAAACACGTGAGCAACAACATAACCTAACCTTTCTGTCAAAAACGCATTTGATTAATTATTGCACAGTTGCCATATTGTAATCTTTCCTTATGGGAGCCTCAGTGAAGGGAGCGACTAGCGACTATAAAACAAAGAAGCTAAAGACTCCTCAACTCTTTCGCTACTGCAGGTATATTGTACCGTAGCGTTTGAAAGCTACTTGGTATTTAGTTGTGAATTTTATTTAAAAATGTCTTGGAACAGCAGGTTGTACAGTACCGTTGATGACGTAGCTTAACTGTTGAAATGTATTTTTACCAGACAACCTCTCTCAGTTGTAACCTTGATTTTGCTACTCGACAAATTTAATATTGTTTTCAGCTGATAATCTTAAACTGTGTATTATTATTATTATTATTATTATTGTTATTTTGTAAGATTATTGAGCAATATTTACAATGTTACCGTTTAAGGCTATATTTGAGGTTTAATAATAAGATGTAAATAATTTTAAGTTAAGTTAATGTTGTATACAGGCCCTTATGTCATGTCATTCCTTCCTGTCGTTCTCTAAGCCACTTTTCTGAAGGCAGTCCAACGGTACAGTCGTACTGGGTCCGCTAAAATAATAATTTTGTCCCTCGGCCTTCAGAAAGTCATATTTTCTCAGTTACCTCGATTTTTACCTTTAAATGAGTAAAAGCCTATAGTGGCCTAGTGCTTGTGGAAATGTTTTTCCCTTGTGTTATCGAGAAAGTTCCGTAACCTCATTTGAGACCATCGCCGGTAAGTTTGGTTTTCCAAGTTTAACTAAGGTATCCTGCCTAATTTCGCCTTGTATTATAGCTTAATGTGCATTTGGACGGCCTGGGAGATGCCCTCTATCAATATTTTCGTGGTTGAGCCACTCTTTTTGTCTCCAGATCCTTGATTTTCAAGGTAAGCTTGCTTCGGCTATGATATTCCCTTAAATCACCATGCAAGGGTTGCTACAAAATATAAATGTTATTATTAGGATCTACCGAGGGGCTCCAACTGTAGTGGTGCCAGTCACCAAAAACCACTACCCTTTATCTACGAGAGTGTGCAGCTCGCAGCTTCCAGCACCTTTTGGCATTTCATCATGGTGGCCCTTCTGAGAGTTTTTTAATTGAACTCACCCTGGCTCAAATGGCCAGAACGTTAATCTAGTATCCTCAAGGACATCGATTAAACAGGTTTTTTATAAATATAAGGTTCACTTTATATCTTAAAATCCTTGGATTTAGGTAGTAAACTTCGGTCCTGATCAGGCCGATTGGTCAAGGGTTATATTGTACTGTTACATTGCACAGGGTGCAATGAATTGTTAGGGAAAATTTAAGTTTTTTTTTTAGATATAAATATTTAGGGAAAATTTCAGCTTTAAGAATTTAACGAGGGATATACATTTTTGCACTCAGGCTTTAACAAACATCAAAGTTTCAATTTAATAAACAAAACTAAGTGCAGACAGTTACAATAATAATTATTTTTGGATTACCTATTTTTCAGATTTCTTTTATTATGCAATTTTTGATAAAGTTCATTTGAGGATTTGGAACTTAAAATTAAAATCTTCTGGCGCCCACTAAAGACACTCCTTATCCACCCTAATTTTGCTCTCTGGCATACAGCTGCCACTGCAGTACCCTTTTTGTTAAAAAAGAGGCTACAATATATATGTACCACGACGTTCCGTAGACTACTAACCTTATATTTTTCCATTAAAATTAGTGCTACCGTGTACCACTCAGTATTTCGCTCGAGGCCAATCCTAACCTGAAATTTCATATTGGCGCCTCATACCTGTGTTTGTACCAGTTGATGCATGTTATTTCTAGTTTGTACGACCCTTAAGATTCATAATAGTACCACTAATATAGTTATTTATGTATCAAGGGAACTATGAGGGTGTTAATACCCCAGGGCAAAGTTTGTGTCCCGAGGGTATTAACACCTGATAATTCCCGTGGTACATAGAACATTTTATTTCCTACTGAACTATTATAGCCATATAATACCTTGGTTACGATAATCATTAACAGGGTCTTAACTCCCAAGGGAGTTAAGGATATCATAACTCCCAAGGGAGTTAAGGATTTCCTTAACTCCCGCTTTTACCTTGAATAGGTGAAACTTTGACAAAAACTAGACATTTTGGTTTATGGCTTATTTCTTTATAAAAATGGACAAAATACAGAAAATTCAGTAGGAAATAAAATGTTTTATAACACTGCTGGTACATATACATACCATCCCCATTTCCCCCCATTTCAATTTTTTTGACTTTTTTTTGTTCAAATGTTCTTCATGAAGCGTCAATAAGTTAAAAATTTGAAGAAAAAAAAAACATTATAGTCGCAAAAACTGAAAGTCGTGTCGGAAGGGTTGAGGCAGCCTTCAGTAAGGGAGCCTTGAGGACACACGGTCAAGGAACGACTATAAATTTGACCCTTACTGACCTTAGGCACAAATACAGTGACTCTATTACCACAGTGGTGACAATTGCCGTCCCAATTTTGATTGGTTATTTAAAATCCTATATATTCATATGGAAAACGCCGCCATTTTGGAGCTTACCTCTTGCTAATTTTAAATATGAATATATAGGATTTAAATGGACAATTTTATGATAGATGTCCATTTAAATCCTATATATTCATGTTTAAAATTAGCAACAGGTGAGCCCCATAATGGCGGCGGAACCTCCATTGTCGCAACTGTATGTAAAGTCACTGTAGGCACAAATTGAAATTCGCGACCCCTAATGGAAATATCTCGGGAAATATTTTGTTTACTTGTCATTCGTATTTCAAAAAATGGAGTTTGAAATAAACTTTTGTTTCCAAAATATAAAATGTATCCACCACGAAGCTGAAGACTGAATAGTAGGGGTCAAATAAGGAATCAGTCTTGCCCAATGACATCTTAACACAGATAGACACCGCATCTCATTCATAAACTGATGTTTATTGAGATGACAAGACCCACCATGGGCCAGGAGAGTTAAGCTGCTCGAGGAGGAGGCCTTTCCCTCTGAACCCGTCATTCACTTGACCAAGATAATGAAGAAATGTCACGGGTGCAACTCGTTTATCTATCTATCTGCCTCTCTCATATGATAGAAGCACATATAAGTTCGGTGGACGCGTTGACATGCCAATCGGTTGCAGCGTGTTTCGCATGTTCTACAAACCGGCGTTGCAAGTAGTCTTGAAGCTCGCAACTTTTTGAAGCAAAGTCATAACAGGATAAAATATCAATCCCTAGCAATTTGGCAACCAAATTGGAGGAGATACACCAGTGGTAAATTGCTCTCCTAAAGTCTGTTTTTTTTAAAGATAATTCCCCAAGTCAAATATTTAGTAACTATGTTGGCAATACAAGCCTTTTCTACATAAAAAATTTGAGTATTGACAATTTTACATTGTATTGCCAACATAACGTCATTTTGACTTTTATCTTAAAAAAAAAAAACAGACTTTAGATGTTGACGACATAAAATTTTGTTTACTGTAATGCCTATCTGTATTAAGATGTCATTGGTCTAGCCGTCCACTTTAAAGTTTGCACAGGCAAGTTAATGGACATGCCGGAACGTCTATCCCAGCCTTAAGACTATATTGTGCTTCTGTCAAAAGCCCAATTGTTTATCATGCAAATTCTTATGAAAACTGCAGCTGGGGGAATTTGTGACTAGCGCCTATACAAACAACACAAGAAAACCGCTACATCAAACAACGTACTAAACAGAGATATAGTAGTAAACAAGTTACTGCACAGAACACATATCCTCACGGATAGAAAAAAAACTTAATGGAGGGCGGGGCCTAAAAAAAAGCTTCGGATCGCATCCGCTTGGGGACGCTGGAGTGAAACAGAACTACAGGTGCGAAATGAACGCCGCCAGAAAATGTCAGAGTTTACTTTGGCAGTTTACCTGTTACCTATGTTTAAAAAAAATATGTCAAAATAGTTCTGAATGAGAATTCGTTTTGGTGTTGGTGTGCATTTTAAATCCAGATAAATGTTTCCTAAATTCAAAAAAAAATCAGATTTTGCACAAAACACAAGAAGTTTGGACGTTTTTGCTATACTCGGAAGAAAAATCCGTCAATATTCAATAATGAGGAAAAAGGTTTGTTTGGACCTCAGTTCAAAATCAGTTCTAAATTGGACTGCGCTTGCGCATTTGGTCATATCAAACCTGTATAAAGAAATGCGGAAGCGTATAGTTGAATTCTGAACTGAAGTTTGAACAAATCTAATATTGAAAATTTTATTAGGCAGTTTGCCTTCTATCCGTGAGGCTATGTATTCTGTGAGTTACTGTGACAATGTCACATGTCACACGACACCACATGTCGTTGTGTCGTTGAACTGTTGAAGTCATGTTGTTTTGAGGCATTTTGAGCATGTTGCCAGATGGTCAGCGACTCGAATTCTATTGGTTGCCACTGTGGCGCTAAATTCAAATTACAGTTGGTTTTTCTCTGACTAATTCTATATATAGACACTATGCTGAAAAATAATTTAGTATCCCACTATAACAACACCATTTAGCCTATAGAATAATGTAGAGCAGTTTTTTTACTGATTTTCATACATAGTATAATACTACCCCATTTGGTGGAGTATGGCATCTTACTAGGCCACATTTGACTACCATCAATTCTACCTAAATTCTTACCTTTCAAATTATTATCAGTTCTTTCTTCACCATTACTCTTCCCTTTACTGGCCCCTTGCTCTAACTTCTTATTATTATTCTTTGTACTACTCAAACTAACCCAACTATCCACAGGAACTGTAACACTCGAAGACTTTTTGGCTTTTTCACTTTTGCCCTTAGCCAAACTGGGAAACGAATCCAAATTGTCCGTCTGCAATATTGGACACGGTGCCACTTTCAACGTTTTGGGTTCTACTTGTTTTTTAGCCTTGCTTTGCACCCATTTGGGTTCATTTGTAGGCCCACTAGCATCACCCAAGGCAGGAAAAAATTCGGTTCTTTGCGAGGTAGATGGCGCGCTGGTTGTTATGTGTGTGGTTATTGCACCATTAGATTTTTGATTGACTTGTATAGACACTTTGGGGCTTTGTTTTTGATTGCTACTACTACAAAAAGTAATTTTTACAAATTATAATAAGAAGTAACAAATCACTTACTTTACACTTAACGTAACCGTACTGCCTCCAGGTTGTTTGCTAGAACCACCCAAAGCAGGAAAATTTTCTTTTTGTTTCTGTGGATTTGACTTGGGCCTCAAAGTTCTGGTAATAGTGACTTCTGGCGCAGATGATCTTGCGGAATTGGTTGTTATTGTTACTGCAGGAGTAGGTCGGTTTGATGAAGATGATCCTCCACCTAGAAAAAGTAATTACGGAATTTCTTCAATGTAAAAAAAATGGGCCAATTTGCTTACCTAAAGAAGGAAAGTCGTTGTTTTTGAATGCAGCGTTGCTGAATTTCGTGTAATTTTTTGAAATCAAAGAAATATTGTTAGAATTATTGTTAGTTGCATTGCCTCCAAGCGCTGGAAAGTGATCTGAGGTAAGAGGATTTACGAATACTTGAGGGGCATTACTAAAACCACTGTCAGATCCTCCAGGCTCTACAAGGTAAGACAAGTCATCTTCATATCTGAAAAACAATACAAGATGGAGAATACTTTCGATTTCGAACTGATTTACAAAAAATAAATTGATTATTACTGGAGTGTATATCATGTCAAAATGAAATAAAGTAAAGAAGAAGTAGAAGAACAATAAGAAATACCAGAAAACCCCAACTTCATTTATTTATTGAAAAAAAGATATGTATAGCTACCTATCTCTACGTTCATAAGGTGCTCTTCTATTACGCATATTATCATTTCTCGGCCTTGGAGCCATAGTAAATTCCAGCTCCAACGTTCTAGCTTGCCTTGTAGCCGATTTACTCATAAATCTGCTATGGTGCGTTGCTATGTGGCCTTTCAAATCGATTTCACTTCTAAAAACAGCGGTAAGAGCCAGTGTTTTGCATTCGCCTTCTTCACATAGAAAGTGTTCGTCTTTGAAGTGCCTCTTAAGTTCCTCCATTGAATTGTAATATTGATGCTTGCCATCGGCATCACAAAAATGACAAAACAGATGGTTCCTACGCAAATGCCTGAACAATTCGTCATTGTCCATAAATCTGATGTCACAAAATTCGCACAGCGGATGGCCTTTGTGAGAAGAATTATTTTTGTCGCCTTTTCTTCTGTGATAACCTAATTCCTGTCTGTTGTAGCATTTCCTTTCAAAACTGAATATTTTCAAGTGTTCGTTGCAAATATCGCAGTAGAAGAGTTCGTGCTCTCTCCTCATGTGATCTTTCAATTGTAGAAACGTTCTAAAAGGCCTGTTATGCTCGTCATCCTCACAAACGTGACAGCGATGTTCTAGGAGCTTATAGTAAGCTTTTTGGACGTCTGGTGTGCAAAATATGATGCCGACTTTACGATCTTGATGATTGGAATATTCGAAACGTCGGAATAGGGCAGAAAATGGTTCAATTTGTGTGGTGAAGAAAACCTGAAAAAAAAAATCATATTCAACTAGTTTGTTTGGTGTAGTGCGGTGTCCATTTCATTTACCCAGTAAACACTCTGATAAATAGTCTAAAAGTTTTAGAACACTTACAAACTACATTTCACCAGGGTTATTTCATTAATAATGCGCCAATTATCCTCGCAATTAACTATCTATAAACTATAGGTAGGTACATAAAGACAAATAAATTATAAAACATTTACATTTTTTCTTTTTCAAAAAAAACAACTTTGATTGCGTAAGTAATAAGTATGTGAACATCATCAGACAACTCATTAAAAAACCAAAGTCCCTCATAAACAGCATCTTTTGCAATGCTGTGATTTGTAGAATGTCAAGATTATAGTTTTGTTTGAATCAAGGTGTGGATCTAATGTTATAATCATGAACTTCCAAACGCTTTTTCAAGTACCTGAGTATTTAGGTACTGGTGCATCAGCCTATGTTCAATTTTATATGTATATCAGGAGCAGATTCGCCTTTTTAATGTTTTGCCCAATACCTAGCATACTTTTAATAGGGGTATATTTTCCACTACACAATAAAATAAACAAAATTTTATTTTGTTGTATGTATTTGCAACTTATGCACCTTTTCACTATTGCAAGAGCTAGTAGGTATGTAAAATGAGACAAAATTATAGGTTCATATATTAATATTCTTGTCCAGTTCGAAACACAGTGAGATTATTCTGCTTACAGTGCTTATCCTATTTTTTTCTACCCAACTTTTTACAAAGATAAATAACTTCAATTGAAAAATTTAAGTAATTGAGGATTCAATGGAAAAATCTTTTATGTATCAAAACATGCCTAAAATCATGAAATCTTTTACAACTGAAAGTTGAGCCCAATACCATACCTTTTTGTTTTTGAAGAATTCAATTCTTATCTATTTTGACATAGCCATCCCATCCATATAAGTAATACATACGTTTGTTGGAGGAAATAATCATGTTCAGGATTATTCCAGCACTTGAGGTCATTCAATGGCATAGGGCGCTGGTTGGGCCGACTGATCTGTTGTTTTCTACTAGCTTTTTGTTACCCTTTTTGAATATAGGTATAAAAACTGTTTTATTCCAAGGTTTTGGCAAATTTGTGAAGATTATGTCATTCATGAGTGCTGCCAGAGGCCCCTTTAGAGTCAGCAAACAATTTTTGAGAAATATAGAAGGGATCTCATCAAGTCCAGGGCTGGAGTATGGACTTTATGGCGATTTCTACTTTTTCTCAGGTGAAATTTATGGTGTTGATTTCTGTTCTGGATTGGATTCAACTCGAAGTGTTGATCTAATTTGTGTGAGGCTGAGATTAGTACAAACGCTCTGAAATTGCTGTGCAAAACAGTTCAAATGGGACTAGAGTTGCCTTGTCAATAATACTGGTGTTTAGAGTTAAGGTTGGAGTTAAATTAGGAAAATAACTGTTTGATGTTGTTCAACAGATATTGTTGATATCATATCAAGTATCATATGTTGATTATTTGAATTTTGTACATATTCTGCGCGTTTTTGCATATTTTCTTGTGAATTTATTGTAATAAATTGAGTATGAACATGCTTTAAAGTATAGACACCCTTCTAGTATTTTCCAACTGTTGATTGAAACACATTTACGACTGATTGTTCTGTGATCTTTCTACACATCTGCTTCAAAGACAGGTCACAATTTTCTTCAACGCAATCTAATATAATTTCAATTTCTGCCTCATTCCAACCTTTTGGTGTGTTTCTACTTCTTTTGTTCATTTCCGTTCAGCCAGAAGATACTGTTTTGTACTTTACTCCCAATGTTGCGGCCAAATTAAACCAATCTTTCAATCTTTTCGAGAATTTCTTCACGCTGGTTTTTATCGTACCTGCTTGGTCGACGAAAACGTGTCTTCATAGGATCTAAGTGCTCCAACTACCAACCAACTGAATGGGGAGTGCCACAGGGTTCGGTTCTGGGCCCGGTCCTATTTTTGCTGTACATTATTGATCTTGCTAATCTCCAGATTTGTTGAAAATTCACCATATTCGCCGATGATACCAGAATAATGTGGCAGGCTCCGGACCCCGTTTTCCTACGTAAAATCATTTTGGAGGACCTCCAGACTGTGAAGACTTGGTGCGACTGTAGCCTATTAACATTGAATCTCACAGAGACAAAGCTGATATGTTTCAAGTGTAGTCTTTCAGATATTTTCATAGATAGTGCAAGTGCTCCAGTTGAATTCAAACCTGACAGCAAATATCTTGGAATTTTCATAGATGGAGAGCTCAAGTTCCACACACATATACATTTTCTGCCACTAAGCTATCATCTGGTTGTTTTACTGTACCGATTAGTATTCAAGAGCTTGGTCCGAGGATTGGCAAAATGGTTTATTATTCACTCTTTAAATCCCATCTTCGGTATGGTATTACTTTCTGAGGAAATGCAAACAACTACATGTTTCAAATGCTCTGTATTATCCAAAAGAGGGCGGTCTGGTAAATTTGTAGGGCCAATCCCCGCGATTCATGTCAAACACTTTTTCTTCGGAAGAGAATATTAACTATATCATGTCTACATCCTTGAAACTGCTTGAATCGCCTTTGTCACTGACACTATTGTCTAGATATTTGATCTCAAGAGGCACTTCTTGGGATGCACAGACTTAGATTGTTGCTGTTGAACCTAGTTGTCCTGGTGTCATTATTGTTATCTGATCCTCTATATTTTTTGTGAACCATGCCCACTGTCAGTAAAATAAAAATACAGGTCAATGTAAGAATTCCCCTCCCGGATAAACAGAGGCCGGCAGTGTTCCCTAGAGCTGACTCCACACAATAAACGAACAGCCCGTTTTTGTAGAACAAAAACTGAATTAACTATTTGACCACTGGCAAAACCCCGAAATTCAATGCCATATCTAAGTCTTGTCATATCATGGCCCAACTCATTACGGACCGTCCTTTACGCATAACATGCCTGAGCTAGTTTTTTTCGCAGGTTATTGATATGTTCACCAAATTTCAACTTAGAGTCTATAGCTAAGCCCAAGAACCTGGAACACTCCTTATTAGCAAGTGGCATCATTCAAACTTATATTTGCCACGGAACACTTAAAGGAAAGTAAATTTGTTTTTGATATGTTGAAAGATAGTTTCTTGGAGTCACACCACTGCTTTACCTTGCAAATATCTTGCCCAATCCTATCCTCCAAGGTGACTTTGTTTGATCCCAGCCATAAGATGGTAGTATCATCAGCAAATAGTGTAATTGATGCAAGCTAGATCATTAATATGAATCAAAAAGAGCAGGGGACCAAGCACTGATCCTTAGGGCACCCCATGCTCAATGCTCCGAACCGATGATACATCGTTGAGGCCCTTAACAATCTGTTTTCTGTACGGTCAAAAGCCTTGGAAAAATCGCAAAACACTGCCGCGGCAACCTCGCCGTCATTTATACATAGATATATTTTTTTCCAGCAATGCAAAAATTGCATCACTGATACTATTCGCTGCTTGAAGTTCAAACTGAAATGAGCTGAGAATATTAAATCTTGAAATAAATTCAACCAGTCTAACCTTGACAAGTTTTTCCACCACCTTCAAGAGAGTGCAGAGGGCGGTCTCCGGAAAATTCTCCAATATTCTGACGGAAATATCATCATATCCAGCAGAATTCTTATTCTTTACTCGAGAAAAAATTTCCTTCAATTCAGTAAGATCAGTAGGATGCAAATGAAAGGTCTGTGAGATATGTACATCAGCCATATAGTCAAGTGGATCAGTTTGACAAGAAATATTCGATCACAGATTAACCCGTCCTAAAGATAGAAAACTTCCATGTAAAATGTTCGTTCGGAGCTGTCTCGAAAATAACACGTGTGGAGCTTCATGACTGCCAAAGCTATGCGGCGCTAGTATACAAAGCCACAAGCAAATGTCATCTGTGGAATGTGAATGGTGAATATAATTTGTTAATGTGTTTGTCATCAGTTAGCCGTTTGATCTGTGTTATGCCTGTATTACATCTGTGTATTTTTCCGTGTATTTATTTATGTAGTTCAGGGTGACAACCGAAAAACTTCAAACGCAACATAAACCAGCATTATGAAAAACAAAATAATGTTGGCACCCTGAACTACATGAATAAATACACGGAAAAATACACAAATGTAATACGGGCATTAGTGTTCTTTTATTTAATTTCCTATCAATTTTTGATAAAACTTTGACTTGTTAATATGTTTAAAAAAAAAGAGATTTTTTCTGCGATTGACAAGAAATGTCAGCATTTTTGACCGGTTGACAGGTCTCAAAACTCAATATTCTGGTATTTCAATTATGTTTCAATAGTTGCTAAGGAATCAATGAATAACAATACGGGAAACACTTTTCCGGCCTAGGCCGGGAAAGTCATTCTCGTATTGCTGAATAATTGGAACTAAAGGATAAACATTTAACAGGTATTTAACCGATCGCAGAAAAAATAGTATGTGTATTTCGGTGAAAAAGCACATTCTCGGCCTTCGGTGTTTGCCGGCCTCGGCTAAGCCTCGCTCGTCAACTTACACCGTCGGCCGAGAATGTGTCACTTTTCCACCTAAATACACAATATACTATTATGTGACATTCCAACATACTGGAAATGCTCGTGTAAATGGGATTAGTGATGGTTTTTATTCGCCATTGTTTGACATTCGCATGAAGTGTGATTTGTGCACCAAAAAAGACCAAAATTCCTAAAAATATACCTTCATTTATAGCATAGGTATTACTGCAGTGGAAGCTTCTGATTTCATGCTATCACCACTTTATCCTCAGAGACTTTGCGGAAGTGTGGAATAAATGAATTTTATTTGCAGTATTATAAACTTTTTATTGTTTTTTTTTTCAATACGTTTTTTTATTATTGTTGTGTTTAAGGCTGTTCTAATAAAGAAGGAGATGGTACTAAAATTTGTTGTTTAATTTCAAAAAAAATTACAGATATAATAATAAAATA